ATCAGTCAAATCCTCATGAAATTCCATATCAAAACTGAAATCCAAATTCAATATTACAGCTAAAATCTATATCACACAAGAAAACTTAGAAAAGAAAAGAGATTGAGATGTTTCCCTGTTTTGGCTCATCAATTTGTGTGACATCTCCATGAAATTTGCATGTCATTCAATCACACCCAATTCCTAGATTTAAATGTTGTTGTCCCCAGCAACTAATTGAAATCTAAAACAGCAATTGATCACTGAAACACATTATACATAACCCAATAGCATCAGTACCATCGCAATGTGAATCAGTCAAAACAGTAATTATCTCAATGTACTAAACTGAATTACAAAAATAAACAAACAGCAAAGTAAAACTAAAGACAGAAACATGTAAATCATATAAGTGGACCAGCGCTAAAACGTTGAAATCAAGCATTTTAGCGCTGTTCTCCAGAGACATGTGCACATTAATGTGCGTCGCATCGCGCTAAAACGGTCACGTCTGAACGTTTTAGCGCTCTGGACCAGAAAGAACAAAAATTCAAACATAAATTTAAATTGCTGAAAAATAAAAGATTCAATCTCAAATATTAATGGTGTCTGTCAATGTTGAAGAACAAATCCCCGGCAACGGCGCCAAAAACTTGTTGCGGATCTAGCAAATGCACTAGTCGTACAAGTAATAAAATGATGAGTAAAGATCGTTCCCACGAGGATTTGTGTCAAGCACTGACTAACCATATGTACTTGAGTTGAATCAAACAAAAGTTCATAAATTGCATAGATTTCTTGTCACCAGAAACTACACCGAATTGAATTAAAACTTGATAAATAAATAAAATGTAAATTATAATGTAAACAAGTAGTCAGATGTCATTTTCCCTCAAACATGAATTTATAGATGAACCAATTTCTATTATGAATTATCTACTATGTGATGTTGATCAACCTTTTTCTTATCATCTCAAGATGTAATCCCTTACTACCCAGATAGACACATTAATCAGAAACCCCAATCCCTTGGTGATTCCTTTCTTAATACATGCATTAATTACTAAGGTCTTAAGATCATCAGAATCCTAGCATCAATCCCTTGACTACTAGAACACTGATGATGAAGTTGTCAAAAATAGAGAAATAATGTAAACATGTCTGTTCTACACTATTCCTCAACATGAAGAATTAATGAAGACAACTTCATACAATCATATAATAGATAAACAAAACATCTAATTAACCATTCATAAATTCAAACTTGAGTTCCATTGAATCAGACTACAAAGGACTCTCTTAAAACATAATTGAAATACAAACAAGAGAAGAAAGATAGATCAAACTCCATTGTCATGATAGTTGAGTCTTCAATCTCCAATTACAATTACATAGGAAATACTAACTATTACAAGAACTAATCCTAAAGAATATGGAAAGTCAGAGAAAATGAGGAGTCAGATCAGATCTATGAAAGACCTGATCTGATCTCCCTTCTCCTAGTGTGATGGGAAAAGTCAGAATGAGATATGACAGGATTGGATTGTGTTTCAGAGTATGAAGGCCCCTTGTCCTTTTATAGTTTACAATTTACAACTGAAAACTGACTTGGGCGCTAAAACGTTCACTTATGGGCGTTTTAGCGTCCAACTTTGACGGATGTCCAACTGCTTTTAACTGTCTTGGGCGCTAAAATGTTCGATTTGGGCGTTTTAGCGCTCACGACCAGAACCTTTTTGCACATCATAGCGCTAAAACGCTTGATTTGGCCGTTTTAGCGCTCAGCACCAGCACTTTTGGCTTCATTTTGCAGCAGGGCGCTAAAACTCTTGACTTTGGGCGTTTTAGCGCCCAACACTTAGAATTTTCCCATTCTTCAGAATCTTCTTCCTTCTCTCTTTTGCTTCTTGAGCTTCATTTCCCTACAAAAACAATGTAATTTTCAACATAAGCTTCAGAACTTGTATTTGAGAGATTTCCAGGACATGAACCTCTTTTCCATCCATTTAATCACACAAATTGATATTAATTCAAGCTTAAAAACCTGATGAACTAAGGGTTCATCAAGCAATACAAACCTAATTCTTAATCCACAACAATTATGTACAACACTAACATTACCAATAATAAAATGACAAATTACGCATAACCACCGTCGTTGTTTTTTCAAGATACCACCATACACAATTGATCCAAACAATTAACCCATTATAGTATAAAATTAAAGAAATTAAATATATTTAAGCATTTTAAGATAAATTTATCCCTCACCCCAATTCATTGCCACATTATTCTGTTCCCCGCCTCTAACACTAATTGGCCAATATTTTGAATTTGTTCCATATAAATCCACTTGATCTGGAATGAACTTACAGAGTTTATCTTTATGTTTGATCTTTACCAACCCCATTCTTCATTATTATTATTATATTACATTTCAGCACAAGGTATTGTTCATCTGTGCTTTATCCATACTTTGAACCCAACCATTTGAGGGTCGTGTTAGAATCTTAGAGAATAAACCAGTGGTCCATTTGTTTTCAGTGGAAGTCTCTACCAATCTATGGTGTTTATCTTGATGATATTCAACAATGTAGTCAAGCCATAAATGTGGTGGAGACTGGAAAGAGAAATTGTGGACTTTTGAATGGAATAAGATTTATTACTTGAGGAAGCCGAGAAGGAAAATTCTACAAAAGAAGTTAGAAGACCCAAAGTCTCTTAGAATATTCCAGATCACAGGCTTGGTGTGTTGAATTTGGAAATTGTTCCATGTTCCATTTTTTAGCTAAACACACACACCTTGTAGATCATATTAAGAATGAATGTTTTTATTATCATTTTATATGGAATGGAATATTTCAAGAATGAATGTTTTTATTATCATATTGATGTTTTGGTCTTTGATGATTTCATTGTAATTTTATCTGGAATTATGTTAGGGGGAGGTATCATTTCATTGTTTTAGGTAGTGTCAAGGTAATCGTTGTACAATTAAAGTTATATTATGATACATTTACCAGAAAAAGAAAAAAAAGGAGTCCTGTTATGATACAATATGGATTACGAAACACTAGAAGGGGGTCTTTATGCTGGTCAATATTTATTGTGTCTATGAAACTGCTTGGTACGTGTAGAAGGGATAGAACTTATCTTTCGAATTATCAATATTATACATAGTGTTTTTCCTTTGAATGTATTTAATTCCGAATTTGGGAGTTTTTTAAACCCTAGAACTCTCTATTGTTTCCTTTATCTCTCAACAGCACGCTATACTGGCTGCCTTACCCCTCTAATCATGAAAAGGATTTTTTAGTGAACTTCCTTTTGTGCTTATATAGTTGATTATTTTTGTGCTAAGCACGGGTGGACAAAAGCCCAAGGAAAAAAAAAGTACAACTTACTTCATCAATGAAAAAATAGTAGTCATATTAGTTTGCCGATTTACTAAAATTATTTTTAGTTGTCTTATATTTTTTGTTTTTTCATTTTGCAACTTTTGTTTGTTGAATATTTTTTCCCTGGTTGGAGATTTTGGATTATCAAGAATTAAACGCAATACCCTTGTATCTGGGGGTGTGCGAGGAACCCTTCCATGGATGGCACCGGAGCTGTTGAATGGTAGTAGCAACCGGGTTTCTGAAAAGGTAACTGGGACCATTCATATGAAGTTTAGCAATATAGAGGAATCAATGAATCTTTTGGCAGGCATTTAGCTAGTGGAATGACTTTGACAGGTTGACGTTTTCTCATTTGGCATCAAAACAAGAAAAACACATAAAACACATATTTTATTAACTATTCTACAAAATAATTTTAAGAGCAAAAAAAACTAGAACACAATCCAATAGGCCCTTATCGTTGGACGTGGTATTATATTCTGCTTTATTTTTTCTTAGCTGGGACTGATAACTGTAATGGATATGAATGTGGAGGTTTTCACTTCTTTCTTAAGCTAGCTGGTGTTTGGTCTCTTTAAATTGTACCTTAAAACATTTTTAGCTTTAATGGAGTTTTGAATTGTTGGTCTTAGCTTTAATGGTTCTCAAAACATTTTTAGGTTTAAGGACAAAACAGAACAAAGAAGCTGTTCCAAAATGCAAGTAGTCATGTTGCTGAATTTCTAATCAAGGGTGTATTGTTTATGGCTTTATGGGTTACATATTAAGGATTGATTTTGGCACCAATTTTGAATTGGTTGTGAAAACTGGCAAAAAGGAAAAAGAATTTGGATGTGAAAGATGAAGATAAAGCTTTAAAGAAAGCATTAGGATCTCCCTAAATTCTTTCTAGCATAAGGATCTTACATTTATAAGTAACAATCGAAGAAATATGGTATTGTATGATTGAACTAAAGCGGTAAGAGATAATTATGAATTTTTCTTTGTTAGTCCTACATTTGTTTATTCTTTCTTGTAAAAGCTGAGGTTGGGATCATGGTATAGTTGTCTAGATCTATCAACTTTTGTACTTGGTGGGTGCATGATCGAACATTTTGTCAAAGAAAAGGTGTCTTTTAGCGTATATATACAGACCATAGTGCTTGTAAACATGTTTTGATTGATGTGAGCATCCTTTCTCTCCCTCTCCTTTTTTGGAGATGAGAATTAGGATTGAATCTCCAACTGCATCATCACACTTTGGTCTTACAGACTCGGGTTGTTGCAGTTGAGCTTCATGTTTATTGAGCTGAGTCTTAAAATGATGCCTATCTTCATTTAAATGCATTAGTGTGGAGCAAGCTTGATATAATTGGTTTAGGAAGCAACTTATACCATATATGATTTTGCAGAAACCAGATCTGCTGAAATTTTTAATTGCAAAATAAATGGGTTTTACTAAATACTTTGATACTTACTAGAAGTATTTTACCTGGAATTGTTTTTGCCATCTATTACGCATTCATAATTTCAGGTGTAATTACTATGCAATTCCAATATGTAAGATGAGTTCTTTTGGAAATTTGCTTGTAATGATTCTTCTCCGGGTGGTTCTAAGCATAAATGTAATTACAGGCTACAGAAATGAGCATTCGTATAAGAGAAATGGCATATCACAAGATTAAGATAAACAAGATACTATCAAGAGTTACAGGGAAGCCTGAAGAGCAGGTTAGATATCCTATGGAACCTTCTTATCTAAATATCTAATTAGTTTGGTGTTCATTATATTATATACTTTTTACCCCTTTAATTTATTTTATCTGCAGATTGAATTGGACACTGATCGTGATAATTTTATGAATCCTTGGGAAGCAAAGGAGTATGGTTTAATTGATGGTGTTATTGATGATGGAAAACCAGGGTCTAATTGCACCAAATTGCAGATGCATCACCACCACCAAAAACTCGGGTATGGGATCAATGGAAAGTTGAAGGGAACCAGTAAAGCCAAACAAAATTTACCCTCAAACATAAGTTTTTGCATAATGCATATAAAGGAGGTCAGGGAAGTGAAGATGATAAAGGCACTGAACAAGAAGAGGAAACACCTGCTGCTGTATGAGTTAGGGGACAAGGTTTGCGTTGCTTCTATACTCAATAGATCTATTTATTTTAACTGATTCATCACTCACCAGAAGATAAAAGGGATGTTTCACTTTGTTATAGTGGG